GAATGGCTGAGTGAATAAAAATATTGCCCAAATATATGCAGCCTATATCAGTCTCAATTCACCTTTAAGGACACACATAGACTGAAAGTGAAAGATGGAAAAAGATATTCCATGCAAATGGAAACCAAAGAAAGATGATGTAGTCATGCTTGTATCATGTAAAATAAACTTTAAATCAAATACTATAAATGTAGACAAAAAGATCATTATATAATGATGAACGGGCCAATACTTCAAGATGATATAACAATTACAAATCAAATGCACCCAACACCCAAGCAATGAAATACATAAAGAAAATATTAATAGATCTGAAGGAAAGATAAACTGTAACAAGTATAATAGGGAACATCAACACACTACTTTTGAAAGAGACAGATCATTGAGACACAAAATCAATAAGGAAACATTGGAATTAAAATGCACTTTAGACAAATGGACCTACTAGGTTTATACAGAACATTCTATCCAACAGCAGAAGAATACACATTTTTCTTAACTGCATATGGAGTATTTCTCAGGATAGATCATATGTTAGGCTTCAAGACAAGTTTTAAGAAAGCCAAGATTGTTGAAATTATATCAAGTATGTTTTCTGAGCACAAGTTATGAAACTAGAAATAAGTAACAGGAGGAAATTAGAAAATTCACAAACACATGGAAATTATACTAATGATAACCAATAGGTCAATGAATAAATTAAAAGGGAAATTTAAAAATATCTTGAGATAAATGAAAATGGAAATATAATGCACCAAAACTTATGAGATTCATCAAGAGCAATTCTAAGAGAGAAATTTTATAGCAATAAACACCTCAAGAAAGAAGAAAGATCTCAAATAATCTAACAGTACATCTCAAGAAACTAGAACAAGAAGAAAAACTAAGCCTAAAATTAGCAGAAAGAAGTAAGTAATAAATCTTGGATCAGAGATAAATGGGATAGAGACTAGGAAAACCAAAAAAAATCAAGAAATAAAGACTTGGTTTTGTGAAACGATGAACAAATTTCACAAGCCTATAGATAGACTAAGAAAAAGGAGAGAAGACTCAAACGAATAAAATAAAAATGGAAGAGGAGACAATTCAACTCATACCACAGAAATACAAAGAATCATAAGAGGCTATTATGAACAATTATATATCAACAAATTGGCTAACCTAGAAGAAATGTACAAATTAATAGATACATAAAATCTACAAAGACTGAATCACAAAGAATTAGAAAAATTTGAAAAGATCAATAAGAAGTAAGGAGATTTAAGCCATAATAAAATACTCCTATGAAACAAAAGCCCAGAACCAGATAGTTACACTGCTGAGTTCTAGTAAACACTTAAAGAAGTAATACCAATTCTTCTCTAAATATGAAACTATGGAAGAAAGGATACTTCCGAACTCATATGAGGCCAGCATGACTCTGATACCAATGCCAGACAAGAACATTATAAGAAAAGAAAATTATAGGTCCAACCCCTAATAAACATAGATGAAAAATTCTCAACAAAATACTAGCAAATAAAATTCAATAACACATTAAAGAGATATGCACTATGAGGATGTGGGATTTGTCCCTAGGATGCAATGATGGTTTAATGTACATGAATCTATAAAAGTCACACCATGCATTGTTAGAATGAAGGACAAAAACCATATAATCATCTGAATAGATGCAAAGAAAGCATTTGATAAGATTCAACATTCTTTCTTGATAAAAATTCTCAACATGATAAAACCTCTCAGCAAATTATTAATAGCTATGGAAGAAAAGTATCACAACACAATAAAGGTCATATATGACAAGCCTGTTGTTGTGGCCCGTTTACAGGATGGAGGATGAACACAGAACACAAAACACAAACACAGAACGCAAAGAAAAACGTGGACACACAGACAGACGGTTGACTTGAGTAATAATACACCGGGTCAGTTTTATTTTTATACTCTAAAAAATTAAAGTTAGTTCCTTGTACGTGACCACCCAGGTATGGCAGTGATAGCCATAAATTCTGGAAGCGTAGCCTTAGGGAAGCAGATATCCCCTGATTCAGAATTTCAAGGTGGTTGCTCTAGGCACTAGGCATAGATAAAGGACCGAGATTAGCAAGGATGGGTAAGGTGAGCCACAGGGGGCATTTCTCATCCCCAGCTTCTCTTAGGGTGACCCCCTAAGATCTTCTGCTGAACCCCAGCAGCTGTGCATGGCTCAGGTCACCCCTCCCTTGAGGGGTCTTACCCGTCATTGACTAACCAGCCATCTTATGGGGTGTATGCAGCAATCACTGGAACAACATGTTTATTGTGTGGCCTCCAGACCCCCAATGCTGTGGGGCAGGGCCACTCTTGCTAGTCGCAGCTCAGGTCCTTTGTTATGCCTCTAGGCAACACCTTTGTTTATCACAAGGACCTTGTCTGGAACAGATTACTTTCAAACACTCTGGGAAGAACACGTACATTACTCACTAACTTTAATTCTTAAACTAGTAAAATATATGCCAGTCCCCTACACCTAAAGCTAACATCATATTCAACAGTGAAAAATTGAAAACATTCCCTCTAAGATCTGGAATAAGATTAGGATGCCATCTCTTCACCACTTCTACTCAATATAATACTGCAAGTCTTATCTAGAGCTATTAGGCAAGAAAAAGAAATGAAAGGCATCCAAATTGGAAAAGGAGAAGTTAAATCTTCCCTATTTACAGATGATATGATCTTATATGTAGAAAACTCTGACAACTTCACCAAAAAACTGCTGGAACTAATAAACAAATACAGTAAAGTGGAAGGACACAAATCAGCATGCAAAAATCAGTTGCATTTTAATACACAGCAAAGTATATGAAAAAAAAATTATGAGAACAATCCATTTTACAATAAGTATAAAAAACACTTAAGAATAAATTTAATGAAGGAGGGAAATATTTGTATACTGATAACTCTAAGATACTGATGAAAGAAATTGAAGAAGAAACAAAGAAATGGAAAGATACCCCATATTCATGGATTAGAAGAATTAATATTGTTAAAATGTCCATATTACTCAAAGTGCTCTACCGATTCTTGCAATCTGTAAGAAAATTTCAATAGTGTTTTTCATAGAAATAGAAAAAACAAATCTAAAATTTGTGTGGAAGCACAAAAGACTCTGTGTAGCCAAAGCAATTTTAAACAAAAGAATAAATCTGAGAGTATCACACTATTTGACTTCAAAATATACTACAAAGGTATACTAATTGAAACAGGATGATACTGGAATAAAAATAGAGACATAGACAAATAGAACAAAAAAATTGAAAGTTAGAATCCATGCATTTATGATCAATTGATTTTCAACAATGGTGCCAAGCACACAAAATGGAGAAATGGCAGTCTCTTGAATAAATAGTATCAGAACAATACCATAACCACTTGCAGAGGACTGAAATTAGACTTTTACTTCCCACCTCAAAAAAATCAACTCAAAATGTATTAAAGATTTAAATATGAGAACTGAAACTGTAAAACAACTAGAAGAAAACATAGGGGGAAATCTCCATGATGTTGATCTGAGCAGCAATGTTTCAGTTATAACACCAAAAATACAATCAACAAAATCAAGAATAAACAAGTGGGGCTAAATCACATTAAAAAGCTTTTGTATACCTTGTTGTTCAAACCATCAACAGAATAAAGAGGAAGCTTACAGAATAGAAAAAATTATTGGCAAACCATATATTGGATGAGGGGTTACTATCCAAAATATATAAGGCACACAAACAATGCAATAGTAAAAATAAAAAAAACAAATAAACTAATTTCAAACCACTTTAAAAATAGGAAAATGATCTGAATAGTGATTTCTCAAAAGAACACATATAAATGATAAACAGTATCAAAATGCTCACTATCACTAATAATCAAGAAAATTCAAATTAAACCACAAAGAAATATCACCTCATACATGTTGGAATGGCTGCTATCAAAAACTAAAGATAACAAATTTTGACAAAGATGTAGAGAAAAGGATACTCTTGCACACTGTTAGTGGAAATGAAAATTAGTTCAACCATTATGGAAAACAGCATTGAGTTTCCTCAAAAAATAAAAAAAGTAGCAACATATGATCCAGCAATCCCCCTACTGGGTATATATCAAAAAGTTACAAAATTAATACAGATGCTTCTAGATTTATGATGGGGCTACATCTCCATAAATCCATTGTAAATCAAAAAATATTGTAAGTCAAAAACACATTTAATACCTTGATAAAACCATTATAAAGTTGAAAAATCCTATGTTTTGCCATCATAAGTCAGGGACTGATTGCACATTGAGGACATGTCTGCACTCCCATGTTCACTGCAGCACTATTCACAGCAGCCAAGATTAGACATCACCCAAGTATACATCAAGGATAAATGGATAAAGAAATGTAATACATATATTCAAAATGGAATATTACTCGGCTTAAAGAAAGCAGGAAAGCTCATCATTTGCAGCCACATGGGTGAACCTGGAGGACACTGTTAAGGGAAATAAGCCAATCACACAGAGACATATACAGCATATTTCACCCATACACAGAGTGTAGAAAAGTTGAACTCACAGAAGTTGAGGATATGTGGTGGTAAATAGGGGGCAGGTGTGGAAAAAGAGGATTGGGGAAATGTTGGTCAAAGGATACAAAGTTTCAATTAGACAGGAAGAATAAGTTCAAGAGATCTACCATACAACTTGGTGACAATTGTTAGTAATGTATTCTTGAAAATTACTAAGAGAATAGACTAAGTGTTCTCATCACAAAATGACAAGTATGTGAGTCTATATATATATTAATTAGCTCCATTTAGCCTTTTCACAATGTCTACATATTTCAAAACAATGTCGTATATGAAAAATGTATACACTTTTTTACTTATCAATTTATAGAAATAGATAACATGGTAAAATTGAATAAACAACCAAATAATATAGAGCATATGAAATAAAAAGAAAATCTATAGGTAATTAATAATTACTTTCTTCATTACAGGGCAATAGGCCAGGTGTCTCCTTTCTTGCATCTCCATTATTCACTACTGGTCCACAGGACACTGAAAACAATAGAGCAGACAGCTGAGATACAATTGAGCCTATTTCCTGTCCTGTTTATATTTCGTTACACCTCACCCTGCATCTCTTTCCTTCTCAAGTTTCTATTTAAGAGCCCCATCTGCATCTATTGCTGCCTCCACTCTATGAAGGTGTTTGTGCTTCACTGAGTCCATGGTCAGCCTCTCTCTAAATCCTCCTTTTTGGTTTTGTTTCTGATTCTCTTCCCTGGTGAGGCTCTTCAACTCTTTCCCCCTTATCTCTCAGTTTTCCTCCATAACTTTCTTCCTCAAGGTCGGTTCAACAGGATATCAAGCTCCATTCCTGTCTTCTCTGTGTCTATGAGAGTTCCTCCTTTGTTAAATAATTGTCTCCCCACCTCGTGTATTAATCCACTCCCCTGCCCTCAGCCAGGGCCCCCTTTGCCCCTCCACACTCATGCAAACCCATTGAATCAGTCTTACCTGCTGGCTCAGGCTGTTGGGCACATTGTTGATTTGCTTGTTGCCCTCCTAGTGCACCATTTTTTTCTCCAGTTGTGTCATTTCTCCTTGTGTTTGCCTGTTCTGTTTCACAGAAGTGCTCCAAGAGTCCACTCTCAGGTGGGGTTGTACCTAAACCATGTTTTGATTCATAGATATTTTATTTTTCCCTCTGCTGCTCATCTCTCCTTGTCCCCTCCACTACAACAGCATGGGCCACCGCAGGAGGAGGTCAAAGGCTGTAGCCACAGTCAAGCAGACACAGGCAGAAAACTGTGAAGCAGGGTAATGAGTAAAACATTCAGGCCCATTGTCAAAAAGAATTGGCAGCAGGTGTGTCCAAGGGTTATGGGAAGAGGAAACCCTCCCAGGCAACCCAGAGGATAAAGACCTGTTATTTAATTCCTAAACTTGAAAACACTGCAGGTGCAAATACTGAAAAATCTGGGCAATCAGTTACACAAAGAGGCAGCCCCACAGCACATTCCAGAATGAGATGAGGCAACAAAGGACATAGCAGCCGACAGGAACAGACCAGTGGAAAAGGAGAAATCTGAATGTGGTCCAGGCAGGCTTGGAAAACTGTTTTCACCAGTTCCTGGGGGGAAGAAATTAGAAGTTTATTTCAGAAATTTAAGTATGAGTTTTGCCCTTTCCCCAGTCCCTTTTTAGTCTTTATAGGGTAGGAGTTAAAGACCCCTGTGAGTCTCAGTGCAGAGCCCATAGGAAACTGTCAGATCCACCAGGTCAGCTGCACCTCTGGCTGAGAGGACTCACTCCAGCCCCTTCGTCCTGGTTTGTGGGCCAGCAGTGTCTTGTGATGGCTGCTCCTCCAGGACCTCACACCTGGGTGGGAGCTCAGACAGACTCCCCGCCCTGCTGTCCTCATGGTCCTTCCTCATTCTTCCCCGAGTCACAGTCTCCACTCAGCCCCTTGGGCCCCTTTTCCTCTTAGCAGCTGGGAACATTCTGTCCTGTCGTTATTACCTTGTTCCAGGCTTAGTTGGCTGCTGGGCCCTTCCTGTCTCTCTTCTTCATCACTTTCTTGTAAATACAATTCGTCTGGGAACACTGACGAGCCAGAGACAGAGTCAGCAGGAGAGAGAAGGCAGTTAGTTTTCTCCACCAGAGACCAGTGACAACATCTGTAAATTGTACATTTAGGAATTTCCAGCCCTTGTGTCACTCAGAGCTCAGTGGGTCCCACATGACTCAAGGTTCTCCCACCATCCCCTGGACAAAAAAGAGAAGACCCTGTCAAGGAACTTTGTCTCCCACACAGAAAATAGACACTCAAATTTGAGACTAAAGGAGAAATACAGCATTGTGAGCCACATTACTTGCGAATAAATATTCAGATGGCAGGGAGAGCACATTTCACAATAACTAATGAAAGTGAAGTGTGTTTTCTGACCTGTTCAAACTAAGGAAGAAACAGGGATTTCTTGGGGAGAAGGTCTTGGGTCCTAGAGAGCTGATTATAAAATAGAAATCCCCAACAGCTTTAGTAATGGGGCTAGAAGAGGAAGGTTTGGGCTCAATTGTGTCAGGGAGGAGGAGCGATTTCCAAAGAAACATAACAAAGGGCACAGGGGCAGCTCACATGGACTTCAGGGTCCAGGAGGAGGCAGTGTCTCCCTGAGGGCAGCAGGGTGACTGTGTTGAGCAAGGTGGTGGGCAGTGCCCTGGCCAGCGTGAGCCTCTCTGCCTGTGTATCACAAGCACAAGGAGTTGCTCAGAGCCCAGGGAGGGGGTGGTGCCTGTAGTCCACAGAGAGGATCAGAGCCTCTAAGATGTGAGGAGTAAAGGTAATATCATTCCATTGGCACCCAGAGCCTGGGGACCTCCTGATTACAGATACAATATTGACTTGAAATTTGTACCCACATAATAGGATTTCTTTAATTTCCTTTTCTGATTTGAATGAGTTCTTATAGAAATAATTTTATTCTTGATTAGATAAGGTTACTATTGATATGAATCAACTAGCCATATATACCTGCTTAAAATTATTTTCTTGCTTATAAACCCATAGCATTTCTTTATAGTGTCTTAAATAAATTTCAAATTCCTTAGCTTTAATTGCCAGACCCTTCAAACTTTTTCTCCAAATTATTTCTGTTGAATAAGCTCCTACACTGCTTTGCACTCTTGGATTTGGCCAAATCCAGTTTGTTCTGTTTTGCAGATGCGCTCTCACACTTATATTCCTGTTCCCACAGCATCCACCCTGCTCAGGGCATGTGCCCACCTTTCCTGTGATGTCTCTAGCCTAATTTGGAGAACTGGGTTGGGACCAAACTGTGTTGGAATAAAAATTTTTTTTAGGCAAGTAAAAGAAATGGAGGGCATCCTCTTTACTGTGTCCCAATAAAACAGTAAAATATGCCTTCTCAGGAAAAAGCCTAGAGTCAAACCGTTAGTTTTGCATTGCACCAAAAATAATCCCTGGCAGAGCAATCGGTTTTGGGATTATTTTAATGTTTGCTTCACAGCTTGTGAATTGAGGGTAAATTTATCTTTATTAAAGGCACATTTGACCCAGGGTTAACTTCTTTATTTGTTACTTTGGAAATTGTGGCCTTTTTGCTGTGTTACTAGGCAAACGCTGGGCTTAGAAAACACCCATGACTGGCAGACTGGGAAAGACTAAGTATGTACTACAAATGTCTGGTGTGAAGTGGTAACTTTGGCTTTCCTTCAATGTGGTAACTCTTGTATCTCAGCTTATCCATTGTGGAGTCCCTGAAAGCTATGACTGTGGAGTTGTTATTAGAGATATTGAATCCCACGGACATATGGTGCTACCCAAGGTGGATCCTGCAACCGCAGCTAAGCTGTCATTCAAGGCAGGTAGCAGTCAACCTGGTGGACTGCTGTGTAGATCAATTTAGGGGCTCCTGCTAAAGAGAAGCAACTGCTGCTGCCCTGTTGGGATTCTGTGTTGCTTATTCCATGTTCTTCTAAGTAAACCTGATGCCAACTTGGCTCTCATGGTCATATGAGTCTAAATGTCCAGTTAAGCAGACCTCCAGGTGGTTGTTGTACCATAAGCTTCAAGAAGGCTGATGACATGCCTGTTTTGTTAACTACTATCTCCCCACTGGTCAGCACAGTGTGTGGTGGAAAAACAATGTATGTTTATTGAACAAAATTGGCCCTGGACTTCAAAAGGTAGGTAATTACCACTTTTGAAGCTTTCACGAATAGGAATTAAAGCAGGGTACTCCTTCATGTTGATGTTACTGAACAATATCTTCAGAACTTCTAGGTTAAAGTTCTTCTCCAGCTCAGCAAGAACATTGTACACCACATTACTTACAGGGACCAGGTTTAACCGAGATGTTTGACAATCCTTAAAAAATATTGAATGGAAAAAATATAAATACAGATTTCAACAAACATTGTGAAGTAATTTTATGATTAATGTATTCCAATTTCCCTACATATTTTCTTATATAAGGTTTTATAAGTTTTTAATATTCATACAACTACTAAAATAAATAAGTAATGCCTTCCTCCTTACAATTACTCATTGATGAGTTGATCTGTTCACTCTCATTTATTAGATGTAAAAAGCAGCAATTTGGAAGAATAAAAATGGATTAAAGTTAATCTTTAAGAGCCAGGCCAAGATATTTTAGGACTAGACTTAGCAAGTGATGAGGGGCTGTTCTGTTTGATGGACACTCTCTGCCTTTTTCCCCAGGAATGACATGGACTGAAAGGCTCAGGGAAACCAGGTGACCATTCTCCCGTTGCTGTGAACTTGGCCATAGAGAAGGCATACTTATGTGCAAAGAGAGTACTTGCTGTTCTGTGTCTCCAATGGGTCATATAGGTGAAATTACCCAAATTAAAAAAATTAAAGAAGGAAAGTAAAAGAAACCTGAAAGATGTTGGAGAAAGAACAGCAACCATCTGCTCCCAAATTTGTCCTAACCAGACATGAATTCCTGTGGATTTTAATGTTCCTAAATCTAGATATTTTAAATTGGTATTATTGAAATAAAATGCCATGTTAATTACTGTTTCAGTAAATCAATTTATTAAAATTATTCTTGAATCCATAAAATTACTTTGAATTTTTAGTTTATGTTCTATTGTGTGTTTCCCTACAAGACACTGTACAGTTATGGAGTATGTCTTATTTCTGACCCAGCTTATTTCCAGTGCCATTCACCCTGACACCACAGGGTGCCAGGGACCCTACTCCCTCAGTTAGAAGCAGGATCATCTTTGGTGATTTCTGCTTCTCCCCTCCCCCTCTGCCTTACAGGAGCACTTACAGAAATACTGGAAAATATATCCCACTCATAGAACACCACTCAGTGAGCTATTTTCACCCAAAGTTTGGGTCTAGGATATCAAAGCCTAATTTACTTTGGAGCCGGTTTACCAGATTGTGACATTATAAACTTTACTTACTTCAAACACTTTATCTGTGATGAATTTATGGTCACGGAGGAGCTCAAGGAATGGAAATGTCTTTTCTATTGCATATGAAATCTTCACTTTCAATCTTTTGAAGTGACTGAATATAAGGTCATAGTTAAGCCTGTCCTCTATGTTCTGGTCTTCTGTGGACATCCTAGGAAAAAGGATACCATGTAAAAACAGTCGTGGGAATTCTGATATGTCTGTGGAGGATGTAAGATTTTATATATGAACGAAAGGCTATGAAGAACCAACACATATAAAATTGGTGGACCTGAGTAGAGGCCAAAGTAAATTCAATTAAAGCAACAAAGACATAGTAGAAGAAAGGATGAAGGTTATGAAAGACTAATATATTGGACTGAAAAATTCCTGTCCATCCTAATCAAAGCCATTGTGAACATATCTTCACCTAAACATAACTAGAATATTTTTTAATTAAAAAAATTTAAAATTGGGTCTAGTTCAACCTCTGTGGAAAGCAAAATGGAGATACCTTAAAGCAATACAAGTGGATGTACCATTTGATCTAGCCATCACATTACTGAGCATCTATCCAAAAGAACAAAAGACACTCTATAAAAAAGACACCTGCACTTGAATGTTTATAGCATCACAATTCACAATTGCAAAGATGTGAAAACAACCCAAGTGCCCATCAATACATGAGTGGATTAATAAAATGTGGTATATGTATACCATGGGGTACTATTCAGCTATAAGAAACAACAGTGGTATAGCACCTCTTGTATTTTCCTGGATAGAGCTGGAACCCATTCTACTAAGTGAAGTATCCCAAGAATGGAAAAAGAAGCACCACATGTACTCACCAGCAAAACGGTTTCACTGATCAACATCTAAGTGGACATATAGGAATAACATTTATTGGGCGTCGGGCAGATGGGAGGGTGGAGAAGGGGATGGGTATATTCATACATAATGAGTGAGATGCGCACCATCTGGGGGATGGACACTCTTAAAGCTCTGACTCGATCGGGTAGTGGGGACAAGGGTCAATATATGTAACCTTAACATTTGTACCCCCATAATATGCTGAAATAAAAAAAATTGAAATTCCTACAAAATCAAGATGGAGTAATCAGGTCATCTATACAGAGATGAAAAACAATGGTATAAAAATAAAATACAACCTTAAAAATGCATCTTAATTAACAACCAAGAAAATTAAATCTCTGAAAGATAAAAACAATCTCAGAAAGAAAAAACAAGCTGTTATAGCAGAAATATCATCCTAAATCATAAAATTAATTCATAAATATTATGCAGTATAGTAATGATGATATGATTAGGTATAAATTCAGAATTTCATGAACATATCAATAATATTTCCTGGGAAATCCAGTTCTGCTTTGTGTTAACATAAATTTGTTTGTGCTATTGTTATATATAGTAAATATTTTTCAGTATTCGAACTTCAGAAATTGCTGTTGTTTCCTGTGAAATTAATGTTACACCTGAGTCTGTAATTCTGGCTCTTATTTTATCATTTTATTGCTATGATAATATTTTAATCGACATCTCTGTATTACTAAATGCTGTGACAACTCATAAATTTTCTTTGTCAAACCAGCAGGGAATTATCAGCATTTTCCAGTACCCAAAACACAGCAGGGAATAATAATATCACTTATTGTTTTTTACTTCTTTTCCTTTTTTAAATTTTTTTGTTCCCTTCCCCAACATTATTGTTTTTTAATTCCTGTAAAAAATGTTTCTGGCTAAAGATTGTAGATTAGGGAGAAGCATATCTTCCACTTTTTAAAGACGCCACTAAAGTGCTAACAAAAGAATTAGATTCACAATGACAAAGAGAATGGTAGAGAACAATGAGTAGATGAAAAATTTCAACCAGAGGAGAGACTTGCTATTGTAGGTGGAGGATGCTCCCAGAGATCAGGAAAGCAGTTAATGTGCCCTGCAGAACTGTGAAGAGGCAGTGGCGATTGACAGGGAGATGCAGCGCTAAAAATTGGTGTGTTATTTGAAAAATGAAGAACAGAGCAGCACATCCCCTGCCTGTCAACCCCCATGCAGCCTACCTACAGCCAGGCAGCCTCTCAGGGGCAAACATTGCTGTCATTTCTTTCACCATGTTAATACTGTTTGTTATTGGATATTACACAAATAAAATAATACATAATGTATGCTTTTGTGTCTGCCATGTTTTGCTCAGCATCTGTGTTGTTGCAATGAATATCAGTTTAGTCCTTTTTTCAAATTTTTGAGTGGTATTCCATTTTGTGGACCTATCACAATCTGTTGATTCATTTTCTTGTTGAAGAACATTTGTGTTGAGTCCAGTTTGGGACTAGTATGAATAAAACTGTAGAAGTCTTTTTGTGGTTGAAAATTGGATGAAATGTTGTAAATATTTATATGACAGAACAAATATCTCAGTCAGAGAAGAAAAATATGAAAAGAAAATAGCTAGAGGAAGATTTATGTTACTACATTTAAATGTTTTAAAAAAGCAATAAAGATACAAAAGACAGCATAGAAAAACATTTTAACACATATGACACACTATTAATATATATCATATTAATATACAAGACTCCAATCTATTAATTAAAAAGAAACATTATCATTAGACTGTCAAAAGATTTTTAAAAAAGAGAGAATTTTGAAAGCAGCAAGAAAAGAGTAACTCATCATATCTAAGAGAGCTGCCATAGCCTTGTAGTAAAACTTGAAGTCTGGTCAATTGATGCCTCCCAATTTATTCTTTTTGCTTAAGATTGCTTTTGCTACACGTGGTATTCTCTGGTTCCACATGAAGCATAGAATTACTTTTTCTACATCTGCAAAAATATCCTTTCTTCCCTGAGACTAGCAGGGGCTGTGTTAATACTGTGTGTCTAGTGTGCAAAATTAAATGAGAGAACGTGGTGGGGGGGTGGGACGAGAGCCCCCATATGGATTTCTCAACAGAATCCATGCAGGCCAGGAGAGATGGAGAAGATATATTCAAAATAAAGAAAGAGAAAAACTGCCAACCAAGAATACTATACCTGGAAAAACTGTCCTACATAAATGAAGGAGTATTTATATATCTTTTAATGTACAAATTAAAGATATATATATATATATTATAAATTAAGATGTATAAAAAGTATTTATACATCTTTTCTAAACAAACAAAAGTGGAGAGTTTCATTACCACTAGACCTGTCTTACAAGAAATGCTAAAGGGAGTTGTTAAAGCAGAAATGAGAGGACACTAATTAAGAACATAACAATATATGAATACACAAAACTCACCAGTAAAGTAAATATACAAACTCAGAATTCTCTAATATTATAATAATTGTGCATAAATCACTTTACATTCTGTTATAAAACAAAAACAAAACAAATTAAAGATAAATGTAACTGATATTTTGTTATTAAGTACATAATACAAAAAAGATGCAAATATTAACATCAATAAGCTAAAATGGGGAGAGAAGTAAAAGTATAGAGTTTTGTGTCCAAACTTGTTAGCTTAAAATAGGATGGTATAACTAGTAGATTTTTTTAATAACCTTCATGGAATACAGAAAGGAAAAATCTGTAGTAGATAAACAAAAGATTATGAGAAAGAAATCAAAGGATGCCACCACAAAGAGTCATTAAATCACGAAGGAAGCTAAAAAAAGAAGAATGAAAAGAGGAACTTGAAAATAATTTTAAAAACCAAGATTCAAAATTTTGCTGCATACGAGAAATTCATTTTGGCTTTATCAACACATGAAAGCTGAAAGTGAAGAAATGGAAAAAAGATATCCCATGTAAAAAGTAACCAAAAGAAAGCAGGAGTGACTATATTCATCCATATTTATAACAAACAAAATATATATTAAGTCAAAAATTGTCACAAGAGACAAAGAAGATCATTATATATGGAAAAAGAGACAGATTCATCAAGAGGATGTAACACTTACAAGTATTTATACATCCAGCATTGAAGCACCTAAATATATAAAGAAAATGCTACAGAACTGAAAGGAGAAATAAACAGCAATACAAGAATAGTAGGGGACTTTTATGAACACCTACATTTGGAGAAAAGAAAGATCTCAAACAACCTAGCTTTACACCTGAGAAAGAAAACAAAGTAAGCCCAAAGTTAAACAGAAAGGAGGAAATAATAAACATTAGAGCAGAAATAAATAGGGTATAGAAAAACAATAGAAAAGGTCAATAAACTCAGAGTTGGTTCTTTGAAAAGAGAAACATAATTGACAAATCTTTAGACTAACCTAGGGAAAAAAAGAGTCAGAACTCAAATAAATAAACTTATAAATAAATAAAAAGTAAATATTACAATCGATACCATAAAAATACAAAGGATCATGAGACCACTATCAACAATTATATAACAATAGATTAGGTAACCTAGAAGAAATGGATAAAGTTCTAGACACATACAATTTATTAAGACTGACTTATGAATAAATGTATAATGTGAACAGACCACTAATGAGTAAGAATATTGAATCAGTAATCAGAAACCTCCCATGAAAGAAAAACCCAGAACCATATAGCTTTACAAGTGAATTCTATTAAATATTTATTGAGGAACTAATACCAATGCTTCTCAAACTCTTCCCTCTCCTCCAAAAAAAATCAGGAAATACTTCCAAATTAATTTTATGAGGGTATATTTACCCTGCTACCTAAGCTATCTCAGAACACTAGAAGAAAAGAAAATTATAGACCAATATTCCTGATGAACATAGGTGCAAAATCTGTGAACAAAATACTAGAATGCCAAATTCAACAGTATGGTAAAGGGATCATTCACCGTGCTCAAATGGGATTTATCCCTGGGATGCAAGGATGGTTCCACATATGTAAATCAATAAATGTGATATACAACATTAGTAGAATAAAGGACAAAAATTATATGAACATTGTAATAGATGCAGAAAAAGCATTTGAAAAATCCAACATCCTTTTATGATAAAAAATTTTAACAAATTAGGTATAGAACAAATGTATCTCAACACAATAAAGGCCATATATGATGAGCCCACAGCTAACAACATACACAACAATAAAAAGCTGAAACCTTCTCTTCTAAGACTAGAAACAAAGCATGGATGCCCATTCTTAACACTTCTATTCAACATAGTACTGAAAGTCTTAGCC